TGGGTGGGACATTTGGGCTGATAAGGGAGAGATGTCTATAGAAGTGAGATCAATTGCCTTGAAAAAGTAAGTAGGAGGAAAGGTCTCAAAAGTCTCGTAGCTCTCCTCCCCCACCATTCTGCAGAGAAGGCTTCACTTCTGACCATCAGATGCTGGACTTCGAATGGCCAACCCCAGGAGCCCCTGCCCATCCATGCAAGGGGAGGATATAATGAGAGAAAACCCAGAGGTAGACCACAACTGTAGGGATAGGCAGCCAGGGACTGGGGCCACTTGGGGTGAGGAAGATGAGGATGTAGAGTCACCTTTGTTCTTAGCACACTTCAACGGGGGTCTCTTAGGTCTGCCAAGAAGGGTCTCCACTTCTTTGAGACCTGAAGCCACAGGTGCTGCCTGGCTTCACAAAACCAAAAGTTGACATAGAAAAGAACCGGGCCGGGGCAGACTGCAGGACCAGAGCGGTCTCTCCTTGGATCTGAAGGCTGAGTCTGAACAGAAACTGCTCATGCAGAGCGTAGGATGTTTGCCTCTGATAGAAGTGTCAGGGTAGAGTGAGGCCAGGTGGGGTGCAGATGGCATTGGGGGGAAGAACTTGGTTGGACCTGAAGGCTGAGTCTGAACAGAAACTGCTCATGAGAGCATGGGATGTTTGCCCCTGATAGAAGCGTCAGGGTAGAGTGAGACCAGGTGGGGTGCAGATGGCACTGGGGGGAAGATCTTGGTAACAGGAGTTGACGCCCCCACACTGTGTTTCCTGGAACTCTGGGTGGAACACAGGGGCCCTTCTAGAAGAATGGCTTCCAGTTCTTCCTTAATAATGCCCAGAGTACATCCAAACAGGGTTTCTCAACTTCAGCACCACTGACATCTGGGGTGAGATAATTCTTTCAGTGGAGGATTATCCCATGCCCTGTAGGATATCTGGCAGCATCCCTGGCCTCCACCCCTGTAGCTACACTCAGTGTGACAACAAAAGATGTCTCCAGACATTGCCAAGTGTCCCCTGGGGGGGAAATTGCCCCCATTTGTGAACTCCTGGTCTAAATCTAGTCAAGCAGTTGTGTACTTGCCAGTACAGCGAGCTTCCCAGCACACCACACTGTTTTTGAAACATCAAGGATGAGGTTAAGTTCTGATTCTTCTAGCGAGGGTCTTTTCCCCAGAAGCTCACTTTTGGGTTATTTCGCTCAGCTGACAAATAATGACATAAAAGGTGATCGCTAAGCTCCTTCTACTCCACAAACCTATGTTCACCGGTTTAATTTACTTTCTTGCCTATGAGGACAGGTAGAGAACAGTGGAGGGGTTGGCTGGGTGTGAGAAGGAATTCTTAGCCAGGAAGGACCACCAGTGCTACATCTGTTACTGGGGGAAGCACATTTCCTGTTTCCTGTTTAACCTGCCCTACGGTCTAAGGCCTTCTTGGCAATACGTCTCCCCTGGACCTGTGATAGCATCTCACCCTTAACACGATTGATTCTCTCACCCAGTTCCCAAGCTTGCCCTCCCTCAGTCTTTCCCATCTCAGTGGATAACAACCTTACTCCTTCCAGTTTCTGGGGCCGAAATCTTTGGAATTACCTACGTCTCCTTTCTTTCTTTCACATTCCACATTCAACTTATCAACAAATCTGGCGGCTTCAAAATAGATCTAGAACCCCAGCACTTCTTTTTATTTATTTATTTTTTGAGACAGAGTCTTGCCATGTCACCCAGGCTGGAGTGCAGTGATGCGATCTCGGCTCACTGTAACCTCCGCTTCCCAGCTCAAGTTATCCTTCAGCTTCAACCTCTGAGTCGCTGGGACCACAGGTGCGAGCCACCACGCCAGCTCATTTTTGCACTTTTTGTAGAGACAGGGTTTGACCAGGTTGCCCAGGTCTCCAACTCCTGAGCTCAAAGTGGCCCACTTACCTTGACATTCCAAAGTACTAGGATTACAGGCATGAGCCACTTTGGCCAGCCCCCAGCGCTTCTTAACACCTGCTCTGAAACGTCCCTGCTCCAAGCCACAGTCACCTCACCAGCGGTCTTCTAGCTGGTCTTCCTGCTTCTACCCTGTCGTTTTGGAGCGTGTTATTAACACAGCAACTGAAAGAGGAGAGGGACAACCAGAGCCCCCATGACAAGTTTGGGGCAAAACTAAGATAGGGGTGGGCACAAAGGTAGGGCCAGCCAGGTGCCTCTGGTGGCCCAGGAAGACTTGAGAATGACACACCTATCCCATGTACTTCCACCCTGGCCCCATTCTGAAGACCCCTATTTAAATACATGACCTAGATAAAACCCCAACACCATGTTCAATGTCCAGTCAGACACTTTCAAAGAAACAACAGCCCAGCAAACCACAAAACAACTGAAAGTGGTCCTATTAAAATGTGTGATTGCGTCACCCCTGTATTCAAATGCTTCCACTGGTTCCTCATGTAATCTCTCAGCATGAGAGCCACACTTACTATCACCTTGTGTCCCTTGTTTCCCAGGGCCTCACCCATTCCATTTCACCCACACTCCTTTCCTTGATGCTTACTGAATACGCCAAGCATAGTCTTACCCCAGGGCCTTTGCCCTGGCTGCTCTCTCTGCATGAAGACCTCTCCCTCCATACACCCACATAATCCTCACTTTCTTTAACTTTTGTTGTTGAGTGTAACATCCTCATTGAGACTGCTCTGATCACTCCTTGAAAAACTGTAGGCCGGGCGCAGTGGCTCATGCCTGTAATCCCAGCGCTTTGGGAGGCTGAGGAGGGCGGATCACGAGGTCAGGAGATCGAGACTATCCTGGCTAACGTGGTGAAACCCCGTCTCTACTAAAACTACAAAAAATTAGCTGGACGTGGTGGCGGGCACCTGTAGTCCCAGCTACTCAGGAGGCTGAGGCAGGAAAATGGCGTGAACCTGGGAGGCGGAGCTTGCAGTGAGCCGAGATTGCGCCACTGCACTCCAGCCTGGGAGACAGAGCCAGACTCTGTCTTAAAAAAAAAAAATTGTAGCGTCCACCCCTTTTCTGCTCACCCATACCTTGCTTCCCCCCAACTCACTTACACTATATACATTCTAACAAACTATATAATTTGGTTATTTGCTGTGCTTATTTTCTCTCTCTTCCTCCCAATAGACTGTCTGCTCCATGAAAAATGAAGATGGATTTAGTTTGTTCTTGTTTCTCTCTTTTTTTTTTTTTTTTGAGGCAGAGCCTCGCTCTATCACCCAGGCTGGAGTGCAGTGGTTCGATCTCGGCTCACTGCAACCTCCGCCTCCCAGGTTCATGCCATTCTCCTGCCTCAGCCTCCCGAGTGGCTGCGACTACAGGTGCATGCCACCATGCCCAGCTAATTTTTGTATTTTTAGTAGAGATGGGTTTTCACCATATTGGCCAGAATTGGTCTTAAACTCTTGACCTCATGATCCACCCGCCTAGGCCTCCTAAAGTGCTGGGATTACAGATGTGAGCCACCGTGCTCAGCCTTGTTTGTTCTCTTTATGGAGATAGCCTCCGTGCCCAGAATAGTGTCTGGCACAGGGTAGATCCTCAGTAAATATTTGTTGAATGAATAAAAGAATGAATGAATGACTATTAGTTGAGTTTTTCCCCTTTCTTTGAAGCTTCACTTTTTTGCTAACAAAACAACAACAACAACAACAACAAAAAAGAGAGACTAGAGAATGAATGGAGATGGAGATATGGATGAGGGTTAAGTCTTTGAAAATATGAGCTATTAGTTGGTCTGATCACAATTACATGTATAAATGGAAAAAGTAGCACAGAATATCCTAGTATACAGATAATCAAATCAAGATTTTCATTTTGACTGCATTACATGATATTATGGTTGAATTTTTTTTCCTAATTACTTTTTTCTTAAGAAAGCAGCATAAATACCAGCCATGTGTGCATTCTTTTAAGGTGAATTACCTAAAAAGAATCTATAAATTGAGTACTTTCATTCCCACAAGTACATAATGCATATCATGCATGAAGGTGTTGAATGCAAAGATAACCATGTGGTTCGTATCTTTCAAGAGCTTCAGGAGACTCACAAACCTCTCACTGAAAGTTGACCAGCCCCTGAGCTGTCCACGTATGTGGGTTCTGTGGGCATTATGGTTGGCTGTCTTCTAGACTTCTAGACTTCCAACCCACCCCTTTCCCACAGTATGGCAGCTAGGCCACTGAGTGGAACTAATTCTACCCCAAGCTGGTCATGGGGATTCATTTAGGGATAGACACAAAACCCAGTGGAGTTCAGAAAGGAGTTCAGACATTTTCCATTTTTGCAGAAAGAGATTTTCTCTCTCCCCCAGGGTGTGAAACAAAAAACTGGCAGCCTTCTTGCTACCAGGAAAGAGGCCAGCATAAGGATGAAACAAACACACAGAAGAACAGGGGGAATCAGAAAAGTTGAACCATAACTCTATTTACTTTGTGAACCTCTGGATCAAACCCTGCCTGATGCCTACCCCACCTCTGCACTCACATATAAATCCAGTAAGCTGGTATAAGCTAGAGTGTCTTTTACTTGCAACAAAAGGCATCTTGAAATGTCTTCTTTGATCTCTTTCAGGCCCTCCCCTCTGCTTCTCACTGGTCCTGTGTGTGTCCTGGAATAACACGTGGGCTGTGCTATCAGTGTTGTGTGTGTCACAGTTGCAGTTCCAAATCCTAAGGCAATGAATTGGTTTTCATTTACATATATCTGATATCTCGTTTCTCTGGCATTAATGATTGCCTTGCCACTGATATTAAAAGCATAAAAGCAACAGGGAACTTCTCAGACCTGCAGCATACTTCTCCAGTTGCATTCCTGAGCTTTGCTGATGAACATGCTTTTAAAATGACACCATGGGACTCCCCAGGGAACACTGCGGCTGGGTTGCCTCTTCCAACGGCCTCTCCTAGCCTCGGCCTGAGACCCGAAGGCAATGCTGTCCAGGGGACAGTCAGCCCAGAAAGACAATGTGTGAAGAAACTCAATAGTTCCTTTCCTTATTTATTAGATTCCAGATACATGGGACCAGGATGGAAGAATCCTAGGGCATTTGATTTACATGGGGATCTCTGGGAGAACATATACAGAGGCCGAAAGACGTACAAGTAGGTGATGCTGCAATGGGGAACTGCCATTTTAAAAAATATATACATCTTAAGAAGCCATTCCAGCCATATTATCATTATTAGAAAATAAAACAATCTTTCCACATAGTGCTTTTCTTTGGTGCTGTTCCATGAGCATGGACTCTGGACCCTTCGGTCTTCTTGTCACAAGCTGGTCACCCTCCCCTGCCACTTCCATCTGCACAGAGGGAGGGCGGAGTCTATGGGGAAAGGGGGCCCCCGACACAGGTGGGTGCAGGTTCCAGCTCCTCTAAGGCTCTGCCATGGCCTCCCGACTCTGCTGGAGTCTTGAGAGTCTCTTACTTGGTTCTTAAAGTGTGGCCCGAGGAAGCTCCCTATATGCAAAGATTGGGTTTCACACATGATGAGTTCACAAAGTGACAAAGCCAGTCTGGAAACTTTAGAATGTATGAGGACAAGGGGACCAAACAAAACCCAGCCATACCACCTTCTCCATGGTTGGATTTTTATGTTTTATTTCTTGGTTCATTTCAAATGACCTGTATCATGAGAGTACAACTGAGACGGGCTGTTTCCTCTTTACAGATTTTCCAGAAATGGCAGGTTTGGGGTAAACTTGAGATCTGTTCCATTGGAGGAAGGGTCCCCTAAACTCTCCTCACTTCACCACATTCCACTACGTCAGTCCTGTCCCCCGGAGAGGGTTCTCATCTGGCCAGGCTTCCAGGTAAGAAGTTGGCCCCTAAACTTCTTTTCTGAGCGTCCAATGGACCCTTTCAGTGCCAGGAACTTTCCCATTGGATGGAGTTCCATTGTTACTGACACGTTTCCTGTTGTGATCTGAGGTTTACGTATAAAAGCAGCTTCCACCTCATGGACACCAACCAACAGGACTTCCGCCCCACTCTGCTAAAGGGGCTCTGAAGTGAGGCCGCTCGCAGCAACACTAGGTCCAGTGAGGCAGTGTGCAGAACACCAACACGCTCCAAGCCAGATGTTACATGGTGAGCCAGAAATGCTTTCCCTAGAAAAGACGGACAGCAGATGCCAGCTGGGCATGATGCCCTGCCGCCTGGGTCCTCCAGCTTGAGCAGGAAGTGACAGAACAGGGTGCCACCTCGGCCCCGCTGCAAGGACACAGCACAGTAAGAGACTGAGGGACCCCCAAAGTGCACACCCCAAGGTCTCTACTGTGAAGGTTTCCCCGGAGCAGAACCTCGGGGCAGAGCCTCTAAACACTGTGCTAGACTTGGTTTGTAGCTGGTGTTCCTTGATGCTGGGAAGGGGCCTTTGCCCCAAATGTGTGCCTCCACCCAAATGAGGGAAGATGGGCTGCATGGAGGGCCAGGCATGCAGCATCCTGGGTAATGGCTCCAGTACCTACTCATCAAGTGACTCAGACCTGATTCCCCAAAGGCAAGCAGAGCTGTGGGGGACACACCACTGGTCTGGGAGGACTCTTGGAATCCTTAACATTTTCTGTGTGGGACACCATCAGAGAGCTGCTCTGCGGTTTGTGGATTTCAGCCATTCCTCCTGTCTGGGATGACCTCAGCACGTCCGAGCCCGGAAGCCCAGGCTGGGAGGTTCCTGGGGTAGAACCAGGGAGGCAGGACCAGGGCTTCTGTGGAAAAGCTGCAGAAAGGCACCTGGCCTCCTGGTGTCCTAGTGCCAGGTGAGATCTGCCTGCCTCTCTCGGTGAGGGGGGTGGACTAGAAGGGCATTGACTGGGGATCCCCGGGGGGTTGCTCTGATTCCTGCTTGTGAAGGCAGCTGATCCGGAAGGGGCATTTTCCATCATGGCTTGATACTCTTTCGTCCTTGGGAGATCCTCTAAGCTGCCCTTAGCCAACATGTGAGCACAAATGGGTGTTCAGGGCTGCCCCTTGAATGAGTGAAAACTTTCATGGCCGTCCACAGAAATACGGTGACCCACTGTCCCAATGTGCCTGGAGTGCAGGAGTTTCCTGGGACAAAGAAACATCCCAGGATGGTTGGTCACCCGGCATAGCCAGGGGGACTGCAGGCGTCCTGCCAGAGAGCTGGCGTGCTCACAGTGCCCAGGGGAGCTACACCAAACCTCTGGTGGTGCAAGGGTGGTGTGAGGGCACCCCTCCTGTGGCACTAGCACACCAGCCCTGCGGTATGATGCTGAGTGCAGGGAAGGGAAGCCAGGAAGGATGAGGCAGGCTACCCCGCTGAGCTTCCTCTCTTTAGGGCTCCCCTGCCTACTTACTCAGCTGCTGGGCCTTTCTGTGCTTGGTAAAGATGGGTCTGGGCCTCTGCCCATCCTGCCCTGATCCTCCCCCCCCCCGGGAGTGCTCTCAGATGGAGCCAGGCTCCTGAGCTTCTCACAGGCTCACCTGGCCTGGACCTGCCCTTCAGGGAGAGGGGGAAGGCAGGAAGCAGGAGAGGGTTCTGGGGAGGATGATATGGTCCCCGCTTTTCTCTGTGCCAGCACGTTCCTGTCTACAGGCCCTGGAGTCACCGTGGCTGGCTGAACCCACTGGGTGAGTGAGCTCTGAGGTAGGGTCAGGAATTAGCATGGGACTCCCAGGGGAGGAGAAGAAGAGGAAGAGGACAGGTGGACACTGGCACGGTGGGTGACAGGCAGGGGGCTAGGCCCCGAGGGGTGGGGTGCCCAGGAAGCACGTGAGCTCTAGCTGCTGCTCTCCTGTGGGTCCGCCCTGGCTGAAAGCTGAGTGGGAACTGTGGAAGGTATGGGGCCTCTTGAGGGGCCCCAGAGAATCTCAGAGCAGGCAGGGCCTCTGGAAGAAAGATGCTGCTGTCCCTTGCACACCTGCCCTCTGCAGAAGGAAAACGTCCGGGTGGTACCCAGCCTGAGCACTGCCCACCCAGGCCGCGGAGCGAGGAGGAGGCAATGGAGTTCGGAAATGCACACGCTGCCTCTTGGTGGCTCAGTGGAGGGGAGGGGGCACTTGCTCCAGTGGTCTCCACTCCCGAAGGGAGTCAGCCCTGGCCCAGGCCTCCGCACCGCCCATGGAGAAGGAAAGACATACCAAAGAAAAAGCCAGTTACAGATGAGCCCCGCACCCCTGCCCCCCAATCCCCGTCCCCCGCCCCACTGCACCCGAGAATCTGCACACAGCCAGGAGGTGAGAAACCCCTGCCTCTGGGACAGCTCAGAGCCATGATACAGGGGTTGAAGGTGGAGGCTGGTGGCTGTGGAGGTCTCCACCTCGGTCTGTCCGTTTGTCCGTCTGTAGGTGGGTATTGGTCCGTGTGCAGGGCCATCAGACCTTGGCCTCCAGCATCTCCAGGAAGAGTTTGTGCATGGGCACTTTGCCCTGCAGTTTGACGCTATAGAAGTGCTGCACGGCCTTGGCGGCCGTCTGCCGCAGCAGGGGCAGTGTCAGCAGCAGCTTGCCCGTCCTCCGGGGCTCCTCGTGGCGCTGGCTCAGCTCGTAGTCCTGCAGCGCCTCGTGCAGCAGGTCCTGCAGCTTCTGGACGGCCTCCAGATCCTCGATGTACATGGAATCTGCAGGCACAAGGACGAGCATTAGCAGGCTTGGCCGGGGAGTGCTGCCTGGCATGGGTGTCATCTCGGGGTCCAGGTGGCAGCATGGAGGCAGGCAGGGGTATCTTCAGAACCCTCACTTCACAGAGAGCCAATCTGAGGCTCAGAGAGGTTAACTGTCAGTCGGAGGTCACAGAAGCTAATGACAGAGCTGGGCCTCAAACCCAGGGAGAGACTGGCATCTACAGAGGACATTTCTCAAGAGGTCACCAGGGGGTGGCAGCAGAGACACTGAAGCCAGACTGTTGAAATCCTGTGTACCTTACTTGCAGGCTGTGTGACTTTAGGCAAGTTATTAACCTCTCTGTGCCTCATTTTCCTCACTTGTAAAATGGGATAATAGCCATGCCTACCTCAAGGGCTTAAAGGAGTTAAACAGGTCAAGGGTTTATAACAGAACTTGTCACAAGTCAGTGCCCTGGTAGCAGTATCACCCTTACCACCGCCCCTAGCCCCATCACGGCTAACACCATGACAACCACTGCAGCTGCCGCTGCCAGGCACCAGCTCCCCAAGTCTTCAGTGCAATCGCTAACCTGACAAAATTCTGTCTATAGGACACAGAATACAGGCACAGATATAGGGGCTGAGCTCCGTGTCAGGGTGCCCCGTGGTGGCAGCATGGGGCACGGTGATGGAGGGAGCTGTTGGGAGTTCTCTAAAATCTTGGGAAAGGTTTTGAACTTAGGCCATGACCTAGGGGTTCAAACAAAATTTACCTATATCCCAGCATAGCAGGGAGGCACCTGCTGATGGCCACGTGACAGCTGGCTCTGAGCCGGCTGAAAAACACGGGAGTGAGGACTCAGGGTTGCGGTGAGGGTGACTGAAGCAGCACATTACCCAGAGCTTGGTTAGCACCTAATCAGTGTCAGGTAGTGTTATTCCTGTGGGGACTCAGGCTGGGGTGAGTGTCCTTGCAGGGCTGGGTCTTCACTGGCCCCACATCCAAGCCTCCTCCACATTTTTCTGCTCCCTGCTACCAAGGCAGTAAGCACTCCTTCGTCATCAGGTGGGAGACGAAGCAAGGCCCCATTCCTACACTCTCGGCCACTTACAGAGTGGGTACCTAACATGGCTGGGCCCTGCCATCTGGGCTCCTGTCTCTTGCCAGCTCCCTCTCCCCGCCCTCTCCATCCTCCCCCGACTCTCCCCAAGGAGGCCAAAATTGGCAGCTGCCTTCGACCAAAAATGAAATAAAATAACATTGCAAGATTAATTTCTTTGCAATCCATCAGCAGGTCTGTATTGATGGCATTGATAAACTGTTAATTACAAAATCAATGGCTATGAATTTTTCCTGCTGTCAGGGAGCTTTGGGGATGGCTGGGATGTGGGGTAAACGGCAGCCAGCAGCCTCCAAGGGGGCCGTGGTGTGGGGTCACAGTCTGCCTCTGATGTGCTTGGGCACTTCTGCCCAGCGTCAGCCCCCTGAGCTACTGGACCCACACCTGAATCATCCCGTGCACTCAGCCTCAGCAGTGGCACCCATGGTGGCCCTGGCGGCTGCTGCTAGGACACCTCAATTGTCTCCTGGCACCCATCCCTTCTCCAGCCAACACATTTTCTCTATTGTGCCTGGGTGATCTTTCTCCATCAAGGCTGGGGAGGGTCACTTCGGTACAACGCTTCCTGTCTCCCTGTACTGACCCCATCACAATCCAATCCCTTCACAGCCCTTGAGCTTCTGGTCTGAGCTCAGCCTGCTTTTCTAGTCTCTCCCCCAAACTGGCCTGTTCTTTCCCCATTTCCCGCCTGGAGCCAATGGCCCCACTACAGAAGTTTACCCTCCCTCTTCCCATCCTACCGAATCATCTCTTGCTTTAAGACCCCACTCAGCATCTGCCTCCCCAGCTGAAAACAATTTACTCTTTCCTCCTTGAGCCCTTTTCATGATCCTCTCTTATGCCAGGAATCACTGGCTCTTTCTGCCACATCCGAGTTCATGTCTTATCTCCCTTGGAAGCAGGGGCTACCTCCAACTGGCTCCTCTTCCCCCGGCCACTCACTATGCCCCGCAGAGCCCAACAGAAACACAGTGAGCTAGGAGGGATCTGTGCCAAGCACGGTGCCCACGGCCTTATGTGCGTCACTGCACGTTCTTCACAATGAGCTGCTGTTCTCCCCATTTCACAGATGAGGAAACTGAGGCTTTCAAAGGTCAGGTTGCCAGACACTCAGCCAGCAGGTGGCAGAGGCAGCACTTGAACCCAGGTCTCACTGACTCTGAAGTACACGCTTTAAACCCAGCCTGCTCAAAGTGTGGTACACAGACTGGCTCCTGCCTGCCCTCTGGATGTTACTGGTCTGTGATAAGAAACTGAGAGTAAGCATTTAGAAACTTAACAGCACTTTGGAAGGATGATTTATATTTATGTCTGTTATATGTAAAAATGTAAAAATTTGACTCATGTTTTGTACATCTGGTTTTTAATTTCATTTTTCTAATAATTTATTTCTGTTGTACTTTACAAAATGATCTATCCATAATGGATTGAACATTTTGAAACACCTAAGAATGGGTCCTTCATCACAGGTACTTTGGCAAGCACTCCTTTAAATCATTACTTTATTTTATTTATTTATTTGTTTCTGAGAAAGGGTCTCACTCTGTCGCCTAGGCGGGAAAACCATTACTTAAAAAAAAAAACAACACTAGCCAGCCTGCTTTCTGAGTATCTGCTTGGTAGCCACAGGGCCTCATGCTCAATCCCTCCGTGCTGGGAAGGAAGCATTCCCGTCATCAAGGCCTGCGGCTCTCTGGAATAAGCAATGTCTGTCGACTCTTGGGGGTCAGCCAAGGCCCTGAACATCACAGACTCCTCCTCCACCTCCAGCTTCTCATCCTGTGCACCAGCTGCAGGATGGCTCTCTACGTGTCACTGGGGCAAGAAGTCCGGAGACCTGAAACCTCATACCATATGACAAAGTGCACTCAGGCAAAGTCTGATGCCAACAGAAGCTCCTGATGGACTCATATCGACAAACCACCACAGGTCCTCAGGTGGGGGTGTGTGTGTATGTGTGTATACACATGTATGTGGGTGCATATGTGGGTACGTGCATGCACATGTGTTCACATGTGTGTGTACGTGTGGGTGTCTAGGCATGTGCATGTGTTTGTATGTATACATGTGCATATGTGTATGTGTGCAGGTCCATGTGAGATCAACAGAAGAGCAGCTGAAAGCTGGTGTGGTGTGGTCCAGTACTGAGGACCAAGTAAGAGTGGAGGAGACACCACCTCTTTATTTGCCTCTCCCAGCACAGCCAAGATTGAGCTTTGTGTCTGGTGTAAGTAAGGAGAGCCCAGAATAGAGGACTTGAGCTCTAAAGCCTGGCCAGCCTTCCTATACCTGGCTTCATGCACCTTGCTTCCTCTGCTTTAACTGCTTTTGCTCCTCCTCTACCCGTTGGAACCCCCAAGCCCTCAGCAATGCCTGGTTCAAATGCTCCCCTCTGTGTAGGTGAAGCACAGGACCGTGATGCTATTCTGTATGATACGTCATTGTAGAAACATGTTATTATGCATTTGTCAAAACCTATAGAACAATACAACACAGTCGGCTGGGTGCAGTGACTCATGCCTGTAATCCCAGCACTTTGGGAGGCTGAGGCAGATGGATCACCTGAGGTCGGGAGTTTGAGACCAGCCTGACCAACATGGAGAAACCCCGTCTCTACTAAAAATATAAAAATTAGCCATGCATGGTGGCACGTGCTACTCGGGAGGCTGAGGCAGGAGAATGGTTTGAACTCAGGAGACAGAGGTTGCGGTGAGCCGAGAACACACCATTGCACTCCGGCCAGGGCAACAAAAGCGAAACTCCATCTTAAAGAAAAAAAAAAAGAACAATACAACACAAAGAGTGAACCCTGATGGAAATTATGGACTTTACTTAATAATATGTCAATATTGGGTCACTATTTGTAACACATTACTGCATTAATGCAAGATATTAATAATTGAGGAAACTACTGGGGAAGGAGGACTTGGATGGAGTGGGTGTCTGGAACTTTATGTACTATCTGCTCAATTATTCTGCAAATTGGCCGGGTGTGGTGGCTTACGTCTGTAGTCCCAGCACTTTGGGAGGCCAAGGCAGGTGGATCACCTAAGGTTAGGAGTTTGAGATAAATCTGGCCAACATGATGAAACTGTGTCTCTCCTAAAATTACAAAAATTAGCCAGGTGTGGTGGCAGGTTCCTGTAATCCCAGCTACTCAGGAGGCTGAGGCAGGAGAATCGCTTGAACCCAGGAGGCAGAGGTTGCAGTGGGCGGAGATTGCACCACTGCACTCCAACCTGGGCAACAAGAGCAAGATTGTCTTAAAAAAAAAAAAAAAAAAAGTTATTCTGTAAATCTAAAACTATACTTTAAGAAAACAGCATTAGGATTCTCTAACAAAGAATGCACTACAATTTTGGAATTCAATGTGTAAATATTCTCTGTGGACGTATGTAAAATTTTTATTATTATTTTGCACTCATTTATTATTAATAAAAGATTTGAACTAAAAAAGTGACATCCTTTTCTGTATTAGAT